TATATATATATATATATATATATATATATATATATATATAATATAGTTTTAAATTTTATATATATATATATAAAGTTTAAAAAAACTGTGTAGATGCGATCATTTCTGACCAAACATATTCGAAAAGAAATTTATTATTTAATGTAATCTCCTACCTAACATATATATAATATACATATAAATTATAAATAAATAGATTGCGTCTACCTAAATTCAATAGAATTTCGAGATTCTCGTTTCATCTAGAGTTCTAAAGCGACAATTTTGAGTATTATTGTTAGAAATTACTTCAATATATAAAATATCTATTGTAAAATTAAATAAGATATTCTGCCTACTAATTTTCACTAGTTCTCTTTTTATAAGGTATTGTAACAAAATACTAGCGTCACATTGTCTGTCGCTCATGCTATGTATGTATTGGCTGGAGTTATATAAAATGTGGAACGATTCTAAGCCGAGTGACATTGATATGAAAATTATGTGTGTCAACGCGTTGAAGTATCTTTTGTTAATCTCGTATGTTCCTCGAATAGACAGTACAGCGAGCGCATCGTTTGGATCAACTCACTTCGATGTCCACGTGAAATGTTGTAATATTGTGCGTACGAATTCCCTTATATTTCTTTCAAGTGTGTGTTCTCATTGAACGTAAGTACGCGAAAATTTCTCAGACAAAACGCGCTCAGGCCACACGATCTGGCGAGATTCCATCAGGAAGTTAGCGACAAGATTGTAGCGATCAAACCAAGAGTGGCTCCAGTCACTAATAGACTTCTCCAAATTGCTCCGCTGACTTCATCCGCCACAGGATACTCTATGCATAACTGCTCCTGTAAAGACACAAGGTAAATATATTTCATGCGATAAATTCACGTGTCCTTTTATACAAAGGAAGCATCTGTACTCACCCATCCACCGTAGCCTTTAATGAAGTGTGCCATGTTTTCACCAACATATCTCGACACATATGACGGCAGTTTCTTCTTAAGAGTGTGCATTCTCTTATCTCTAGCCCATAAAGCCAATCTGCCCATGAAAGCGTACAAGCAAACGATCTTGGCCCATGTAATGACACCATGTAAGAACAGTTCATTAGCAACTCCCATGAATGCTTCATATGCGGTGTCAGGGACTACGTTCAGACGATTCACCATGCTTGCAAAGAGAATGCTGTGCTTATTAAGCATTTGATACACATTGTGCCTCATAGTACGCGATATCGGGTCCCGGGATATAAGATAGATGTCTTCTTTCAATAAGTATCGCATTACATCGTTAGCTAGACTCTCTGCAGTAATTTCTATGTCCTTGTAGATATCGTATCGTAGGGCTGGGGCTATTTGCGGGAAGAGATATTGGAGCCGAATCTAAAAGGCAAAACGTTTCATCGTGAGCCGAATATGCCAGTTGCTGGGAGACGTTGCACGAAAGATACATTGTACGGCATGAAATAGAGTCGAACGCAACATCCACCAGGAAACACGCGCGCGGCAGTAAACGGGTTTCAATTGAACGAATCGATCCTTGACATTTGACAATGGTGCCGGCAGCTCTGCGAGCCGATAGAGTCGCGACCGTAATACGATACCTGACAAATTTCGAAGAGAGACATAGCGCGGTTGGTAGCGCCGACCGCATATCGGCAGACACCGTCCTCGTCGTCGTCGGCAGCGGTGGTGGCTCGTTCGTTCGACGAATTCCTGTTACCGGGGGGATCGCATTCCAGAATGCCGCCCACTCTGGAATGCAGTTCCCCCCGCGCCGAGGCACCGTGCCCCTCTCCGCCCTCCGCGCCGACGATCTCATTGTTCATCACTGTTTCGTCGTCGCCGGCCATCCTGGTGTCGGAGTACGCGAGGGAGATGTCTCTTCCCGAGTCTCCTCTTTCTATCCAGGTCGTCATACGGTCTCGATCACGTCGTCTTCACCGTTGTCGTGACACACGCTCCGTTCTTTCTCTCTCTTGCTCTCTCACTCTCTCTCTCTCTCTCTTTCTCTCTCTCTCTCTCTCTCTCTCTCTCTCTCTCTCTCTCTCTCTGTCGTTCTCACATCTCGCGCTGCTCTCCGGAATCGTCTGACGTCGTGAATCGATCGCGTGCGCGCCCGACGAGCCGGATGAACGAGCACGCGGTCCTCGAAAAATGCCAATCTCGAGCAACCGATCCGACCAACCGACCAACTAGTCTGCCAGCCAGCGACGAAACGCTCCGCTCTCTACTTTCCCGCGGCCATTTCCGAAGCCGATGCCGAGAAGCCGAAACCGCGCCGCGCTGTTTCCTCTCTTGCTCCGCGTCGCACCTAACTCTCCTGCACCGCTCCCTGGCCTGCCGATGCCGCCAACCAGCCGACTCACGAATGTTTTACATCACCACCACTACCGCTTATCTCGACTCTACCCCACCGCGTAGTGCCGTGTACCGATGACGTAGTTTAGCGGTGCTCGACCAGGAGACGGCTTCGACTCGCGCCTGGCCGGACACGTGTTGGTCCCCCAGGTCGCTGACGCTTTCTAACACTCTGAATTGATGACAATCGTCGACCTCTCGATTGTAACAACAAACACCCGATATGACCTCACGTATCACGAGAGTATCACGTCGACTCATCGGCGCCGATCACGTCGTAGGTCGCGTCCAGGATTGGCTTGAGAGCCGCTGAAACACCGAGCGACTGCCGACGGCACTCTCACCATTGCAGCGCGCGCTACACCTTTGCACACCATCGTGCAGACTCTCTATGGATCATTCACGTTTTCTCCCCACCACCGCGCCGCCCCGACACGTGCACCGTGTGCATACACGCGGGCTGGCCGCACAGTGTGTTGGTGTCGCGCCGTCTCTGTCCCTCCTGCGCGCCCGCTCGCCTCCTTCGCGTAGCGCCGCCGATAACCTCAACCCTTTCTAGCGCGCGCTCTCACGCACGTGCGCGCGAGCGAGTTACCTGTGTGGTATACCTGTGTGAACGGAGCGGAGGAACGGAATTTTCGATGGAACGCGGAGTTCGTTCGAGAGATGAAGCACACACCTCTCGGTGCATGCATAGATCCGCGACGGCGACGAGGTGTACGTTTTAACGAGCATCTTCAAACGCGTCTCGATCGAGACTTTAAAAAAGAGGGGGAGAGAGAGAGAGAAAGGGAGAGAAAGCTCTTCGAGAGAAGATTCTGCGGATTAACGGAAATTCTTTGTCATATAGGTCATTCACTGGCACGATGTCAAAGAAAGATGATAGCCGGGACCGTGTTCTGTGCGGGATCGCTTTCAGGTACCGCCGTGATATTATTCTCCTTTCATACGCGTTGCTCGCATACCGCCGTCGTTGAGAAATTCGTATTCATTCAACTTTTCCGCGGCTGGAATTCCTAAGAGAATTGCGCGACGTACGGCTCTGGCTACTCGCGCGAGATACAGTGTTCGCCGGGTAGTAACACGAGAAACGGTGAAAGTCTCTCGGTCATAACTACTAACCCGCAAATGACCGGAGACAAAATCATCCATAAGATCGATCGAGATTCACACAGGTCTGGAATTAGTTTGATAGAAAACTACCATAGTAGTATGCATTTTTAACTTTCCCGGTACGGCAAGTACTTGCTACGTAGCATAACCCGGTCGAAAGCAGTAAACTCAACAGCACTTACTTGCGAGACTGTGCATTTTCGTCTTCTGACGGTCATAATTACACAAAACCTGATAAAAAAACGAACAAAATGCATAATCTCATCTTTTGACTAAAGCTGAGCTCAGCTATCAACTTCCTCTTCTTCCGTTTCCCGGACAGAAGTTTCTAAAAGGGTGGGACCCGATTGAATACAGTATGATTGCTGAACACAAAATATAACGATTGATAGGATCTGATAATTCGCCAGATAAATCTTTGCATCGGTTGATGTCCAATTGTACCATGGTCAATCGGGATCCCCTTCTCTAAAAGATGTCTTAAAAAGTAGGACGTCTTTTAGACGCTTTAACACTTTGAGTACAAACAGTACACCTCAACGCTGACTGGAAATAGCGTCTTGTTTATAACATTAACCGGAACCGAGAGAGGGTTAACATGGTTCCAAAGATCAGTCATTGATGACTAAAGTCAATGCTCGAACCGAAAGGGTTAATCATCACCGGTGGCAGAGCGATCTTTGCCTTCGATAACCGTGAAGAACGTAATCTTTAATTGATACGAACGTCACAGTCCATTATGACGCTTGTACACGTGGCGGAGGGTCAGTTCGACTCTGGAATTGACGGGATGACCGTACGCGCGGATAAATTCGCGGACAATAGGACGACGTGGGGCATATTCAGCGAACGCTGCACGGGGCCGGCGGTGTCATAGTGCATTTCCACGAAAGGATTATTCTGAAACTGGTCCGCGTGTCGAGCCGGTCCGAACGGTGATGGCGACGCTGGCGGCGACGGCGGCAGTGGCGTAGCTAGTCGCGCGCCGCAGAGGGACGTTCGAGCGCGCCTTTTCTTCCCGAATCGAGGCGACATCTCTCCCGTGAAGGCGCGAGTACAATTCTTCTCTTCCCTCCGTCCACTAGCCACGTCCCTGGCGCGCCGCGCCTCCTCCGCGCGCCACACCGCGCGCGACCGTGCCTGGACCGCGGTACCCACTCCTTTCTGCCGGCGGTGCAACCTTCAAAGGCCACTGAATGCGTCCATGAATGAAGTAGGAAAGTTGCGGAGTACAGATCGACCGGATGTGTGCATACTAGGTGGGTAAAGAAAACGAGAGCCGGCTACGTCAGAGGCCGGTTGTCGATCAAACCAGTTCCAGATCGCGTTGTCGGTGATACCGGCTGAATGTACCGTATCCGCGTTACGCCCCGTTTTACAGGTAGAGCTTAACCTCAGAGTAAGATAAACACTTGCTCCATTCTGATTTTTTAATTGCGTCATCAAGCGCGGATTACGTCGTCGCGGCGAAATCGCGCCGGCAGCGGAGAAACGTTCGAAAATTTCGCGTCAACGCGGCGCCTGCGATTCGCCGATTCAGAGATCGAGGCACAGTCTCAGCTGCGCTCATCGGCGATGCGATGCAATGCAATGCAACGCAACGCGATCCGATGCGCTCCGCTCTAACGCCAGTCCGAGGCGTCGTAGCGAAGTCTTACCTTTCACGTCGAGGTAAGATAGCGAAGACGCTGAAGACATTCCACGCATCGCCACCGGACACGAATAAATTGACGATATGACTCGTGCACGAATGAGATTTGATAGGGCCAAATTATTTCCGCATCGCTCCTTAGAGCGACGAGGATCCGGGGCGGAGGAGGGTGAGGGGGGAGAGAGAGATCGCGGACCACGGAAATCTTGATAATGTAACGAGGAGGACGTTACCGTTTACGCAGCGTGCGTGAGCTATCATAAATAACAGTTGCTTGAATTGATGCATCGTCGTGATGGCGCTCGCGCGATTTTCGTCGCGCAAAACGGACCGTGGGAATATAATGGCGCGAGTGAACGGCGCGCAATATTTCAGGGGAACTCGTGGCAACCGCCTCTCGGTAGCGTTTTCTTACCGTCATTCATGATACTACAGCACGGCAATAGGATGATTGCCTGACGGTCGGTGACTAAAGTGGATAAAGCCTTCTACAGCAATCTAACGCGAGCAGGGCGCAGGAGTGCAGAGCTCGGGCCCATTCTCGATCTCTTTCTCTCTTTCTCCCGCGCTTCTTTTTCACACCGTGTGCCGCAAATCGTCTGCCTATCTTCGCGTTAATCGCTCAACGCTAATTACCCACAATGGAGAATTAAGCGACCGCGAGAGAGTAAAGAGTACATCGAATGTACAGGGTGTTTCCATCACACACCGGCGTTCTCTCAGACTCGTTGCGTCCATGTGAGGTACATCCGGTGGTTCTTCCGGGAAAGGCCGGCACCCGGTGTCTTTTACGAACGTTGTGACAAATGTACTCTTTAAAGAAAGAGAAAGAAATTTGACGACACTCGCGACGTAAGACGGCGCGCGATTTGGTTCGCCCGATTTCGACGCCCCTGAGATGGCAGTAGTACTAACCCTGCTAACAGATTGACAGACATACTCACCGCGAACTGACCCTTCCGTAGTGATTTAGTTATGTCTCTATGGACGCGCCGCCAAGTCGCGTGTGTTTGACATCGCCGTGAAAAGTAAAAGGGACACCGCGCGTTGCGGAGGGAGTGCTTAAAAAGGGTTGAATCGTGCCGCCTAACTCGCACTGTCTTCGTCGAATGTGCTTTCGCCGTTTCGATATCGTCCTGCTTCGAGATATTATGATTAGGTGAGTTCGTTATCTATGAACACGTTGCGTCGACGAGACATACTTTGCCGCGCGTGTCCAAGACATACGACGATCGTATTAGATGAAATATTTTCGAAATGAGTTTTCGAATCAACTCACAGGCCAGGATTTGGATGCGATTTTTCTTCACAGCAGAGGAGACATTGAGTTAACGTCGGTATAATCTTAAGTGCCCTGGAAATTTCGCTCGTGCAAAACTCCACTTCACGCGTCTCAAAGAAAAACTATTTTTGAAACGTTTATCAGATACGTTAACAGAAAATATTACCCAGGTAGCACAAGATGGCCTGGATATCGATTATGTATCTCTTTGCCTCGCATAAACTCATGAAAAGTGAAAAGTTTCATTGACGAATTCAATGCAACTGTCCACTTTTTACGAGTTTATGAGGACAAGATTTTCTTCGACTGATGATTCCCGGACGTACATAGGACGTCCTGGAACACTCCAGACATCTTGGGCACGTTTCAGGAGGCTACTAAGATGTCTTGTGACGTTTGTTATCGCAACTTGTAAAATACACCCGCAAATTTTTTCGCAATCAGCAACGCGGATACTTGTTGACGTTTATGCCAATTCTTACGACAGTCTATCCGTGTTCTTTAATCTTTAACGTGTATTTTATCTCGACGACGAGAGACAAGAATCATATCTTCGCACCGTCTGCCTAGACGAAGACGCGACAATTTTTTGAATAATCACAACACGACTCGGTTTTCGATCCCGGAACAGACGTTTCATGTTGTATTTCCCTTCACTGAACGGGGACGATCGTACTGAAATTGCGTTAGCGAAATGTAAATGCTGACGTCAAATGCGAGAATATGTAGCGTTCGTTCGCTCAGGGATTTGAATTCTCGACGCGGCTGTTTCATAGAGGAACAACCTGTCGCCTTCTTAGCTACGTCAGCAAAACGTAAAAGCGTCGGAGATATGCTCATATGCACGAGGAATACGGCGTTGCGCCGACCTCGGTGCAGTGAACGAGTGAACGAATGCGGCTTCTCTTCCGAGTCCTTTAAAGTTCGCGAGCCGATCATCATCTGGCGATCCCGCCGAGGCGGAGATCTTGTTACTTCTCGGACTCTACACTCTCGCCAATACTCGCGACGTTATGGCGCTCTTTCTCACTCTCTTTCTCTCTCTTTCTTTCTCGCGATCCTCAACACGTTTTTGCATTGCTTGCCGGTTGATTGCCCCTCGAGCACGTTGATGATGACGTCAGCATTCTGGATGAGTCACTACGCTTAATTCGCGCAGCACGAGCGAACACGTACGGAACGTATGCACACATAATTCGGGTCGTGTTCGTGCCTGCGCATATATACGCGTGTACGCGCACTGTGTGTACCCGCGTATGTGCGTGCGTACGTGCGTTATACGGGGCAATGCAAAAACTGATGGTAGATAATTTTGCAGCGGCTTCTCCGCGAATTCCAGCTCTCACGTTGTCTTCCCTCTTCTCTCTCTCTCTCTCTCTCTCTCTCTCTCTCTCTCTCTCTCTCTTTCTTATATTGCAGTTTCTCTCGAAGTGCAGGCTGAATGCACGGAGGTACGTTGTCGGAGATATACCGACGCTACGTTCTGTTTGTCAGTGAGTATGAGAGAGAGAGAAACTTCTGGCAGAAATACGACGGCTTTATCGGGCACGTGATTTTATTTACAGCTCCGTTGTGCGATGAAGTATATAATGCTGAAAATAAAAAGAAAAGAACGAATCCTCGTTTCAGAATAGACAGTGATAACGATTGCGCCTACGTGCGACGATGCCACCCGGTTAGAATCACATCGTGTGACGATCCGGATGAAGGAGCGCGCGTGAGCTCCGCGATCAATTAAGCGACGCTTATTTTCGTAAAGGCCGACATATCGGAGTCACGAGCCTCTTATGACGAAGTAATCGCGCAATTGTGTTGGTACTTCGTGCAGGAAAACTGCATGTGTGTATATATACATATGTATGCATATATATACGTATGTTTATCGGTGCGTACGCAACGTTCACGTGAGTGTGTACAACGACAAGGACAAACGTTGTTGATTCACATGCATACATGCATAATGCTACACGTTATATAACGCTAATGTAAATAATCGACTTTACATTGCAAATTCGAGCTTCCCTCGGCGATTATACACTAATGTGAAATTTCGCGCACACATCGACACGTAACTTGCGGAAATGGGAAATTAAAACGGAAGGAGCATGCGCGTTATATGACGTGGACGAGGAGCTGTGCGCGCGTACATATATATACATACATATATATTATACATATATACATATATACATATATGTATATATATCAATCTATCTGAGATGTATCAATAGCAAAGAATGTAACATGATCGCGCGTCACGTTTGTCAGCGGTGCGCTGCGTTCACAGCCAATCGGTTTTCACCAATCGATGCTACATCGAAATTACGAGCCAGCAGGTGTTCGATGAAAGCATACGATCTTTGCGTTCCGCGAATCTCCAACTTTGTGAAACATCAAGCATTGATTGAAATCGGAAGGCAAATTTGGTCATCTCGTAACCAAACACGATCGAATAAATAAGAAAATCATGAATCGTCAAATATATTCCGAGTTCTCACCTACGCCTTGGAAAAGGAAAGACGGAAAGACGGAAGAGGAAAGGGAATTTTCGACCGAACTCGATCGGAAGAGTGATCTCCGTGAGATTTTCATGATGTGATTACAAGATGACGATTCACAGTAACGCAGATAGTAACTCGTGTAGCCGATTTCCTTGGCAGTTTGGCGCCCATTAAGTCCCGGCAATATCTACGACAAACACTCGCGCAATTATCGCGCCGCCTTTTTGCACGAAACCCTCGTGTCAACACATGTCTTTTTAAAGTTGGCAAATGCCGCTGATTGATAATGTCGTTATGGCGCAATTAACGACTTTATATGTGCACGCGGGCGTCGAGCTCGCTTCTGCATGTGTAACAGTGATCGCATAAATCAGTTGTCAGGCGTGCATCTTTTTTTCAGCGTGTCGTGCAATTTCAAAGTCTCGGAGGAGACACGCGGAACGTTGCGTTCTTTGTTGCACTCGCGGTAGTCTGCAAAGGCGCGGGCCTTTCGCAAATTCGCGATGTTCAATGTCCGCGATATGCGAATACGTGCTGTACGGTGAAAGCGCTGCGCAACGCAAACGCGGAGTGATTAGCGCGATTTTACGGCGTCCACGCGCATCACAAAGTTTCGAGATCGAATTTTGGTACGATGCGTGCGATGATTCCTGACGAGGACGACGGGCGCGATCGAGAATGTTAATTTTTCCCGGGAGTTAACTTATCATTGCGCATGTATATTATATCGGAGTCATACATCGCGCGACAATATCGTTGGCACCTGTCGCGTGGCGCGCGTGCGGCCGAAACATTGTGAACAGAACAAAGAAACGCATGAGATCCCGTCTCGTGAGACAATTGCGCAACGGGCCGAAACAAGTGGAAACACGAAATTAAACGTTAACACGGCTCGTCACGCACGGTTATCCTCGCGCGTGAAAACGCAACGTGTCTTGTCAATTGTGAAGCAAATACGTTAGAATGAAGTCTTGTTCAGGTAAAGTCTTGCGGCGTGCTGTCGCTCGCCACGATCCCGGGGCGAGCGACATGTCTATTTGGGAAAAAATTAACGACACCCTCACCGCGTTCGCGTAAAACACACCAACAACACGAGCGACGCGAACTCTGTATTGAGGGCTCATAATACTCAAGTCGAGCACACACTCTCCTCTTTTTCCTCATCTCTGACGCGACACATAGCACTGGTAAAAAAAAGAACGCTCTACTGTGTGCTTCATCGTGATCAGGGTGGGGGGATCTCGATGTGCCTTATTATCATCCTATATAAGCTTTCCGATTTCGCGCCTCGCCTTCGTAGTTCCCCAATCCGGGTGACTTCGTCAAGCTTGAGGGCGACTCGCACTCTGTAAGTCGCATCTTTTGTCTTCTCGCAGGCAAGTTAATATATTTATTTTTAATTCTTTCATGTAAGCTACATGCTTTATCATGTCGGTAAACGGCGACATTCCGGCGATAACGGCCGATTCAGCAATACCTGCTAACTCCTACTTTTGCAAATTGGAAAGAATTGTTTTATTAAATCACATTTGCTCTCTCTCTCTCTCTCTCTCTCTCTTTCTCTCATTATTATTGCCTCCACTATCGATGGAGAATTCCAATTTTACGATATATCCCCACTCACATTAACGTTTGAACAAGTAGATTTAATAAAAGTGTTGGAAAGTCATTAATCCGAGATAATCAGGCGTGTATGAATATTTGCTTTTTGATATGAGGAATACAAATATTATTTCTATTTTAATATACACGCCCAAGAGTTTTATCGAGTTTTTCGTGTCTCTCAAATTTAAGATGCTGAAGTTGAAAATTTTACCGACAGAATACTGACACTTTTCTGCAAAGTTTATATCATATCGGTTATATAGAAATGCTTTTACGCAATAAAAGTACGTGCAAAAATACGTGAAAACAAAAAAAAAAGTTTAAACTAAGTTTAAAGTTCCAACCTATTAGTTTGTGTTAATATTTGTTTAACGACCAAAGTACAGTGGCTAATAATATACGCGGTGAACAAACTTTTCCAGTGAAGTCATTCGTTAAACTAATGGAGTCGATAATAAGTGATAAGACGGCAATTTGTCGAACAAGACGACAATATTGACAATGTGCGTCGTTCTGTCTACTTGCTTCTTCTTCGGTGCCGAGACTGTTGTCGCGACCGGCGATTTGCATTCGATCTTACGATTGTCGGGCCCCAGGTGAGAAGCATTCATTTAACGGGGAAATCTGAAACAGTCCGGCAAACAGAGACGTAGCGAGCCGAAGGATCGCGCGTCATGTGACTTCTCTTCCCGGGGTGATGATGCAGACAACGTTTCAATTCTGTAGCCCGTAACCGGTTGAAACCGCTGTCGCGATTTAGTCTATGGCGTTTATGTAACCGGTTGAAACTGCCTCCGAAGATCTTGATATCGCACGAGCGCGAGATCGAGGGTATTGAGGGTTGAGCGATGCTCTCGCGACGATAACTATGTTCGATTGATCATGCGCGCGTCATGTTGATCGCATCCGCCTGCTAATGCCTTATTTCTGCACCTTCTTACGCCGCGTATCTCCCGTACCTCTGTTGAGGCATCTGGTATTTTTGTACCGGCCTTCGATCTCGCCGAGAAACGATCCTTGCCCCGTTCACAGCGAGGTCCTTGCTCCAGTCGCACGACACGCTTGCGTTTTGTTACGGTTTGTCTCTCAAGAGACTAATGCTGCAATTCTAAGCAAGTATACGAGTAAATCGTAAAATCGTAAAGTCATAGCTTACGAATCAACTGTAATGTTGGTAAAATTCACAAACTGTAACTTTATTGATAACTTCTAGTTAGTCGTAAGATTTACGAGAAATCGTAGATATTTACAAATTACCGTATTATATGCGGTTCGCATAGAATTACAGATCTATTTATAAGTTCTTATGAGTCTTACGAGAACAAGTTACGAGTTTTATGATTTTGTCTAGAATTGCAATATAAGACAGAATTGTTGACATCGTACCGGTCTCTTAAACCGTATCTCATTAGTCGCGCTTGATTTTCTTGAATGTTTGTACACGGAAAAGGAAATTACTCGAATACGTGAATTTGCGTAAAATTTAGTCGGACTAAACAAATATTTATTGAAATATTTACTGAAATGTCTACTGAAATATGAATGAATTCCGGTTGAATTATTAGAATTCTGATTCGCGTTATGTATGTATTTTGTATAGTATATTGCAGCTTCAGTTTATATGCCAAGAAGGAGCTTGATTTCTTCAATATTTCTATCTTAATCACTCTCATACCTTTGTTGGTTCGTTTATATTTCATCAAACATTTGGTTAACTCAATAAAACTTTTTTCCGTGTAGCACGTATAAAATAAGATATAATCTCAACACGTTTGTTTACATTCCTCATTGCTCACTTATTTCACATTTTCACCGTTAGATGTATCGTTCATATTCCATAATAATAAGGAAATTGATTGAAGGAGATACGATTTCGGCACAGCTCTCTCTCTCCTACATATTTCACCAAAAGCCAACTTGCGACTGAATATTTCTTCTGGATAGCCGATGGTATCAATCTTGCTGGTCCCCATCGTCCATCTTCGATCTGTCATGCGCGTCTCTTCGTCAACACGTTTCGCTCGGCAAATTCGGGGGTCTCTTCTGCCCGTGCAAGGATACGTTTATCCTTGCGCGTAGTACCAACACCTCGCCCCTCCATCGTCCGACACGCTTGGGAACATACGTGTGGATGATGGCCACCGCCGCTGTATATCAGTCTATATTAGTGGGAGGTGGCAGGTAGCAGAGTTCTCTTTTAGCGTTTCAACGCTCCGACACTCATTTCATCCGCAAGTACCGACTATCGCGGGTCCGAGCATCATTAAATGCCAACTTGCGAATCGCGCGACACGCGGCTGGACTGAGACAACCAAAAGCCAGAAACGAGATCTCGACCTCGTACTTCTCACGGCCACGACCCGACCGGAGTCGAGACCCAGGGGTAGATCGTCGCGTATTCACCGTCATCCTCCGCCAAGCCTTTGTCCATGTTGTCGCATCCGTGCGGTGCTCGATCACACGTGAAATCGGACCTAGCGTTTCGTGTCCGTCGGCAAACTCCACTCGCAAGATCGACTCATGCGAAGGTGTATCGCTTAGGACAAAGGGATGTCTCGCGGATGACAGTCGTAGGATAGTTCTTCGGGCAGCGCTCCTCGAGTGAGATAACACAGGAGGAGGTCCTGTGCTGAAGCGAATTTGCGCGGAGTCTATCTTCGAGTCATCATCGCAGCGTTTTCGCATCGTGATTATAAGGGCGTCGCGGGCCGAGCGTGAGCCTTTGAAGTTCTGTCTACCGTGATAGCACTCGAGAATCTCCTCACGATCGCACCACAACGGTGTAAGAGAAACATCAACGCGGTTTAGAGCGTCACGAAATAAGGAGCATCCTCCGCGGAAGAACGTCTCATCGGATGCGCTCTCGCAGGACCCGAATGAGAAACGTCATACCCAAGTAAGTCCCAGCCGCGAGAGAGAGAACTTGGCGATCGTGCTAACGCGCTTCTAACGTCGCGGTGTGAATTCGTCGGTACACCGTGCCGACTTTTATTTCGCACTACCGTCTAACGAGCACCAAGTGGCGCGATATCTCAAACACTGTACGCTCTTTTTTTTCTCCCTCTCTTTCTATTTTTGTATCATCGTCAATAATGAAATTAAAACTGATTATATCATCATCTGTGACTTGGACTGACACTAATTACAAGTTAAGTTTGACCTTTCGATGCGGTCCACTCGACGAGCGCGTCGATTCGAGCGGCTGAAAAACGACTCGACCTCGCGCCTCCTTTCGCACGTATCATTAGCATCATCTTTTCAACGTGACACAATCTTCCGAATAGAGCGTCTTGTCATTCTGGACGAACCTTCTCGTCTCTGCGTCTCAATATTCTTGTCCGTTAACATTCCCGATCATCCTTATTGTTGCGTCAATTCCTCCAAAATAATTCGTTAAAAACGAATTAGTGCTTCCTGGAAAAAATGATATAATTAATATAATCGTACTTTTTATATATCTGAATTGATATATTGAATATAACTGAATATAGAAGAACGCTTGGAAATTGATGTTTATTTTCGATTTGTTCTTCGTGTAGTTTGTATCTTTTTTATCCATAATTATACATCTATGTGACGTATTATATGTCATGTTTTTGCTGTTGAATATAGATTATGTATCCCGATTGTGCTCGGCATATCGTTATTCTCGATATATAATAATTATGCATATACATTCATTTTCTCGCTTTTTTACGATCACTAAAGAGATCACCTCTCGGCAATCTTTTTATTTTCCTGCATAATCTTATCATTATTAGCAAATATTCGCGTGACTCAGCTGGGAAGTACGTGGACCCGATGATCGGATCCCATCGACTTTTATCGTAGGGCGACTGATTTCGTTCTTTCGTTGCCAGAGAAAAAGAGAGAGCGTGAGAGAAAGAGATAACGCTACGAAGGGACGCGCGTGATATTCGCTCATTAGCGAGTATTTGGTACAGGATGTCGTGTCGTTTTCTAGAATGGCATTAAACCGCGAAACGCCCCCTCCCCCAATTATATCGTTGAGCTGCCAGGATCGGCGATATGAAACTGTCGGTCAAGCTCCTCAAATTCTCTTCGCTCGTTAGAAATACGATTTCGTCATGATAATTATTATTGCGATTATTAAATTAAACAGTTATCTATTGCGTTTATGGCTATCTGTATATAATCGTAGCTATTAATAAACTTAGATATACGAACGCAATAACGGTAATAATATAAAAATAAATGGTAATAATAATAATATATAATAGTATATAGTGAAAAAATATAATAATAAATAAATAATAAAAAATGCTCATGTAATGAAAGATTACATCACGTACATCTCATTGTCATATTACGCCTGTATGTTTTATACGTAATGTAATTTGTGTGTGCGACTTGTATTAATACACAAATACTCATTACTTTTAGTTTGCGACTATCGAAAAATGGCGGCATCAATTTTTGTCAAACGCCGAATGAGCCAAATCGATAATGAAGCAAAGGGTGAACACGCCTCTGGAGTGGTGAAATACTGCTCCGGCAAACTACCCTTCAACGACCGTGTGGCCTAACGGATAAGGCGTCGGACTTCGGATCCGAAGATTGCAGGTTCGAGTCCTGTCACGGTCGACGCTCTAATTTTTTTTCTTTTTTTCCCTTGAATTGAACGCATCATACTCGTACAATACGACTTTCTTCTAAGTGACACCTAAAATGGCAGATAATTTACTCGCCGTTGCTTTATTCTGTTAATATTAATTGATATTTTTTAGTACGTTTTTTAGTATGTTTTTCGAGTAAATTGATGTTATTCTTCTTTTTTACTTTTGTGTGTATTTTCGATTCGATCGTTTTAATATCGCTTTAATACCGCGAGTCCCGTTTTTATTGTTGACGCTGACTTTATGCGCTCACAACGATAATTCGCTCAAGGTTTACGACATTTGGTCCACTACGATCATTTCGTTTACAACTAATAACCAATACTAGCAACGACGGTGTTAGCGTCGAAAGCGATTTAGTGCACGAGAAGGCGTTACGTACGATAGATTGCAGCGTCGTTTCATAATAGAATTGTGGGAACTAGTATTAATTAAAGCGATCGGTGAAACAGCACGTCAACATAGTTAAAACGCGTTCGATGTTTCTCTCCTTTTTTTCCCCTGTACGCCGTGCAACTCACCAAGGACACTCGAAACCTGCTTCGAAGATAATGATAATCGCGAATGTTTTTCATAATGTATATCGTGCGATCGCGATGAGCAAGAAGTTTAAGTTATGTAAAATAATGCTGCTTACAAGCGGACTTTGACGTATCTTTCTTTCTTTTTCTCATGCAAACGTTCACGTTCTCGAAATAAATGCGGTAGTTTTGTGTAATATCCTCGTTATATCGGATATTTCGCGCTAAGTGCGCAATTTACACGTGCACGCACACGAGGCAATAGATTTGATGATGATGACAAACGCCACCAAGAAAGGCGACGGGGAAGCTCGTAGGGACAAAGTCGAGTCATCGAATATCTACGCCGGCTTAATTAAACTGTGTTTAAGTTGTATGCGTTAACAAGTTTCGACTTAAAATAACTTACAATGAGACTGATAAAGTCGTTATCAGACTCATTATGACCTAATTTACTAAAGCTCGTATCGACAATGGGACTACGTTATATAACGAAACTGCAGGTTTAAACATTTGCGCGAATGTCTACGACCCACTATGTGCCGAACTAACAACTAGTAGTCTAGGAATATTGCATCACACAGACTTAACTCATTGCTAGATGAATTCGTATAATTTCGTCCGCGTTTCTCCGAGCTCTATCACGGATGGACCGTCGGTAGTGCGTGATGTAGTGACATGTTTCGGTGAAGACTGATTCTTCTCGACGGATGATGTACCGTAGCCAATGACATGGTCGGTCAAAGTTCCTTCTTTTCCGTTTCTTTCTTCCTTTTGTTTTGTTCTTCTCTGTTTTTTAATTTGTATCAACAAAGCCGGAGATCCTTAATTCTTACTCGATCTGTTTTAGTTCACGAGCGAGCGCAGAATCCAACCCCGCCGACGAGCAGCAGCAGATCAGTGCAGATTCAGCAGGAAAACTTCACCTGGACCTATCGATCGACAGCAGCTGCACCGACTGCCTGATACTCGACGAGATTTTCTGTCGGACGCATAGGCTCGATATTTGACTTTTTTAACCAAGGCAGCTTCACCTACACGCGCCGACATCGTAGAATGGTAGAAGGTGAACCCAAAACAAAGCGCAATTATAGTACGTATAGCTTCCCGAGTTTTTGTCGGTCAAGTGATTGCGTCGGTCTCGCGTTGAAATTTCATCTTCGTGTTGTAGAGTGTGATGTAAAAGACGAGCGGCTAAACGGTTGCGGTTCCAAGGATCTCGAACTCGCCCGTAGGTAGAAATGATGAATATTGGCGTCTCTCTCGCGCATAGACCGTACTTTGCGATCGCTGAACAATCGGCAAATATTTCTCTGTTCAGGTATCGGATTAAAGGGCAAGACTCTCGATCCAGAGAAGGGATCGTGCGACAAAGCTGACTTCGAGAAGGCCATCGAGCTTAGCGGTGAGTTCTTTCGATTCTTCGATCAAACGAGTGTTCTTGATCGCGGCGTCTCGTTCTTCACAGAATATGGCAAGTTCCATTACTTCTTGCTTGCGGTATGCGGCTTCGTCAGCACCAGCGAGGAGATGGACGTGATCTCCATGTCCTTCATCTTGCCGAGTGCGCAATGTGACCTGAAGCTCAACACCCAAGCGAAGGGATGGCTCAACTCGATCATCTTCATCGGGATGATGGCGGGCGCGTACGCCTGGGGATCCGTGGCGGACGCGGTCGGCCGTCGGAAGGTCTTGATCGCCATCTCGTTCATGAACGCTCTGTGTATCGTCGCTTCTAGTTTCAGCCAAACGTATGAGCTCTTCATGTTCTTCCGTTTTCTGAACGGCGCAGCGTAAGTATACGATTCATTCGTTACCATGCGTGCGTTCTTTTTACATCACACATGTACATGTACACGCACACGACATATACGCACATACGCACTCATACAGACATACGCAACAAAAAGGGTTGAATGATTCAGTAACGTTCTAGGCTAGGAGGTAGCGGACCGGTCATCTGGTCGTACTTCGCAGAATTCCAGCCGAAATCCAAACGCGGCTCCATGCTGTCTTTCATGGCGGCGTTCTGGACACTGGGAAACCTCTTCGTGGCCGGTGAGTCTCTCGTCATAGCGAAGCGCTCTTCTAGAATGTTTGTCTCATTTCCTTTGCATCTCGACAGGTTTGGCATGGTTGATCATCCCTAACGAGATGGGTGTCACCAGCTCGTCGTTCACCTACAACTCTTGGCGAATTTTCCTGTTAATCTGCGCTGTTCCGTCGTTCGTCGTGACGGGGCTGCTTCTGCTTCTACCAGAATCTCCCAAGTACCTCTTGTCCTCCGGCAAGTACGAGGAGGCGCTCGAGATCTTTCGCAAGATATACGTCTACAACACCGGGAGACCGAGTGAGACTTACACGGTAATCAGATTTCGCGTGATCGATACTCGTTAATCGGCTATTGTTGTGATAGTATAACGAGGCGGCCGATCCTCGAAATTGCACGCTACGAAATATCTGTGACGCGTGATTTGTCGCGCAGGTGAAAGAACTGATTATCGATGACTTTCAAGAGTCGAACCCGGCGAAGGCCGAAGTCGAGGAGAAGGGCAAATGCAAAACCATGCTGGGCGACATCGTGGAGAACAGTCGGCAGTTATTCGTAACGCCGATTCTCCGCTTCACGATAATCTCGATCGTTATCAATTTCACCTTCCACATCGGTTACTACGGCCTGATGATGTGGTTCCCGGAACTGTTCAATCGTTTCGACGAGTTCCATCGCGACCAACCGGGCGTGGTGGCCTCGATATGCCAGGTCACCGATTACGTCGTTAACAAAGGCTCGCACAGCATCGAGAACGTTTGCTCCGACAAGATCGGGGCGTCCGTCTTTATGGAGTCCCTTATCACGGTGGCGTCTGCCATACCCGCCAATATCATCGCTGTCTTGGGGATGGACCGCCTCGGGCGTAAATTTTTCCTAGGTGCTTATTTCAGCCGGAGAAACCGGAGTATAGACGGAAATTGTCGCGACAAAGCGTATACGAAGACTATTATCTCTCGCAGTACATCTCCTTTTATCCCTTTATCCTATAATGTCCTACGTTCTTCGTCTTCTTCTTCGTCTTTTGCACACGTATGTTCAGCACATTCGTATTTTATTCTTTGCAGTGTTCAGCACGTTCTCATCAGGGTTGTGCTCGGTCGGCTTATACTTCGTGTACAACAAGTATCATAATCTGATCGTGTCGGCAGTCTTTAGCGGTGCGATAAGCTGCGGCAACGCGGCATTAGATTGTCTCATCACCGAGGTTTTTCCGACGCAACTACGCGCAACGGGGATCGCCATATCGATGGTAGCTGCTCGTCTCGGTGGGATAATCGGTAACATCGTCATAGCTCAGCTTCTGGACATGTACTGTCCGGCACCGACTTTCATAGTCGCTGCTCTGCTGATTGGTAAGTGCAGCTAATATTCTTCTGATATTTTAGAGATTTACGTGATATCATGAAATATTTTGTCTGGCTTCTGGATTGGCGTCTTCCTAGATTCGTTATCGACGTTTCGCGAACATCCCACTTCACTTTTTCAAGAGAAGAACGATTGACGCAAAACATCGGAAATGAACCCAGGAAAGACGTGGCGCCAATCCGGAAGCCAGAGACCAAGCTTCTTCTTTTGTATTTTTTTTTTTATTCTTTTTCCTCACTCAGATCTCTTTTGGATCTTCTCATTTCGTACGATCATAATATACGTTTGTTTTACAGGTGGAGGCTTGCTATGTTTATTTCTACCAAACACAACGCGCGAGCCGCTTTCTTGACCCTAGCGAAAGTCGATCCCAGTCGACAGCAGCAGTTTACGATCGTATCTATATATTTTTGTCGAGTACAAGCGTCGTTGAATTTTCTAGAACAATCCTGAGTATCGTTGCGATTCAATTATAGTGCTATAAAGTGAAAAAAAAGCAAGATTCGCGTCGTGCAAAGTAGAACGTTAGAATTTCCGCTATATGTGTATTCGTAATAATCCCCGTAATAATCTCGAAAAAGAGATACATTTTAAGAGTTAATTCTTACAAAAGTTTAGTTGTGTGATGACGAGAAGAATTCAGCGCCTCTAATCGTATAATTTCCGAAGGGTAAAAGCGTTTGATACGGAGCGCTATAATTAGATGCCTTAGCCGAATTTTATACATATACCAATATCAATTACAGAATTTAGACACAGCAATGAAATCGTTTGATTAATTGCGATTCGCAATAAATATATACTTTCCTATCCTTTGTGATTCTCGGTTAGAAATTCGCTGCATAAAATCACTATCGTTTTATGTCGTACCAGACATAATTTAGAGTTTATCGATCGATTGAAACATAAAAATGTGAAATTAAAATATTTTTGAGGATAGTAATAATACTGTACTGTACAGTACTTCAATAGTTTTTCTTTTCTTAAATATTTGTTCTTAAGTCGCTAATTGTTATCTAAGTCGTTAAAGAATTATATTTAAAATTGCTAATTAACTATAATACGTGTTATCGCATTCCTCATATCAATGTGTAATCGACAACTTTGTATGCGTGTGCATTATCCTTATACTAAATATTTTACGTCTTACGATAAAATTAGTAAAAAACAAAGAATTATAAAACTATAAAAAATACACACGTTTTCTTGAATATCGATTCTCAAGATTTTAGTTTGTACACAACATATGCATTCTTAAACTCCGAATCCAAACCAGAAGATGCTATTGGTGCTTTCTGTACACTGATTCTCAGGATAGGAAGATAATAAAGAAACATGAAATTAGCACATATATGTTGATCTTCATTTTTCCAGTGCACTTAACATGTTCATATAAAATACGAAATTATTCTCTCAGCATCTTTTCCTTTTGTCGAGCAAGCTTCTTTTTGCTAAGTTTCTTTTTCGATGGTTCCTCCTCCGTGGCTTTCGCGACAACATCTTCCTTCTCTGTCAGGATCACCTCAATGTGGCAAGGTGAGCTCATGTACGCTGTAAAAAGCATATTACAGCAATAATTAATTGTTTAGCAGAACAAATCTCTGTAAAGGATGAAGATCAATGCAATGCACTCACGATTTATGCGACCATGTGCTCTATACGTCCTTCTACGAAGGCAAGGTGCATGATTCACCTGGATATGATCGATTACAAGACGATCTACATCAAGGCCCCTGTAATCGGCGTTACTCTCCGCGTTTCTCAATAATTGGAGAAGGAAGTCCGCACTTTTCTTTGGCCAACGACCTAAAATAATTAGACTACTATATATACTATCCTTGTTATGCTTTGTACTAAATAGTTTGAGAATATTGTCCAACAATTGCAATATTCACAATTAAAAAGCAAAAATAATATATGCACATATGCAAATACATATATATATATATATATATATATATATATATATATATATATATATATATATATATTGACATACCTTGCGTAGTGCCAAATTGTTTGGCTTGGGCACATCTTCCAACACCACCATTGAATCTACGGAAGGGCACACATTCTTTATGTTCCATGACATTCTTCAGATATTTCTGCGCCCTCCGCAGAGTCATATTCTTAATAGCACGTGCTGTCTCATGAGTGTTCTGTAACATACGAAAAGAACATCGATTATATTCGTGATTCGTAAACGTCGAACTCATGAGGTTTGAGGTTAGATTTCTTTGTAAAAAAACTCACCTTAAAATGCACGCGGAGATTGGAGCCGCGTGCTTTACACGACTTGGTCGCATTAACTGGTTCATGGGAATACCGAGGCATTGTGTCCTAAAACAATATGAAAATTGATCAATATTTTATTTCAGATATCTTGAAACGATAAATACGACCACGACAGCCCAACCTGCTCGTGTCGTACCGTTACTTGCTCTCGATTTTAAATCATTCGTTGCATACAGAGATAATATATTTTATATCTATGTTATAGCTCGAGGCTTTCAGTACGAAAAATTATTTCTTGTAGGGCAAATACTTGGATATAGGTTTAGATGCGAATAGATAATAAATACGACCGTACGTACCTCTGAGCAACACGATTTTAAGCGAAAAGACAAGCGAGCTATGAAATTCCGACTTCCTGAGCATGCAAGGATACCAACAGAAAATAAAACGTAGTTACAATATGGGAATTTTGGATCTGGGGATTAATTATGTACTAACAGAGGATGCTTTCCAGCAACGTACACTTGGTCTGTTCTTTTCAGCTGCACTGCTGAACTGGTGCAATAAGTTATGGCTCCTGCACACAGGACGCAGTAATGCTTGCCGCGCCCTATGTACAGGAGCCATAAAGCTCATTCTACAATTGCGTGAACGTGGTTGTAAGTGATTACGACAACCAATCAGAATAAAGCAATCAGTGAATAAAACATTCGGATTGGTTGACTCTTACGTTTATGACTACGCTTACGCAATTGTAGAATGGGCTTTAGTCCCGAGCCACAATAGGTATAGTAATCTTTAAGCCTTATAAAATTAACCAATCACGGTCGATTATTTTCCTTACATTTGACTGTAATTGATCAATCATTTAAGACTTAAAGCTTACTATACCTATTGTGAATCGGGACTAAGTCCTAGTTGCACCAACATTATTTTAGCTTTAAGCAAAACTTAAACATATATCTATCTTTATCACTCTTTCTAAATAAATAAAGACAGACGTATATTTAAGTCTCGCTTAAAACCAAAATAATGTTGGAGCAACCGGGCCTTATGGCTCCTGCACATAGGACGCAGTAATGCTTGCCGCGCGGCGGAAGTTCGCGCGACAACCAATCAATATGCTGTTTTCCGTAATAACCTTCTAGCTCTTACGGAAAAACAACATATTGATTGGCTGTCGCACGGATTTCCGCCACGCGGCAAGCATTACCGCGTCCTGTGTGCAGGAGCCACTACGCTTGCGCATAGTAAAAACCAATCAAAATCAGGCACAGGTTTTATCGTCCCCCTCTCTCTGTGGTTTCCCCCACCGGGAAACACTCCGGATTACACTCCATCCTTATATTCCTACCATATATACCATCCATGGCATTCACATTTATGTATTCGTGCTGTTAATACCAGTGCTGTTATTACCAGTGGATCTTAGGACGCAGCTTTAACCTTTCAAGTATAGTGAGGTAAATTTTAACAAACATAACATTAATTACTATCTATAATGAGCAGTTCTACAATAAACTATTAATTATAAGCCGTACGCAAGTTAAACAACCATTTTTTGAAAATAATCAACTGTAATTGGTTAATTTGCTTATAGCTTATAAATAATAACTTAGAGCCGATTGTTTCAACTTATAAAAGGCTCCTTACATTTAGAGATCGTCTACAATACGGTCGTAGTCACGTTTTAAAATCATAGCACTAGTTTTTAAATCGATCTTATATTTATTTTTTTTTTGCATAAACTCGTAAAAAACGAAAAGTTTTCTTGACAAAAACAAGCAAGTTGTTTCCACGTCGAATCACATGATTTACTTGAATTACGTGGATGTAAATTAATCCATGAGTTTTTACGTGAACGTTAACGTTTTTTCATTATCAAATCGAAGTATTTTTTTCTTGTAATATCAACATATTTTCTAATATACAAATAAAGTACATTACAACGCAGATTAAATCTAGAACGTTCGAAAGAAACAGAGTTCCGCATATTGGCTGCGTTCAGCAGAACTCAACGCTTTGTAAACGATTTAATGACCCAGTAAGCAAGTTGAGCGCAAACTGCGCGCAGATTGGCAGCAAATTTGATCAAAAACCCACAGCAAAACCATAGTCATCTGTGTCTACATTAGGCTACGGTTTTGACGACAGATCTTGCTGTCGGGCAATTGGTGCCAAATTTGCAGCAGAAACCGCGCAAAGCTTGCAGCGCAGCAAGGTCTGCGCGGTTTCTGCCACCAATCTGCCGTCAAATCGCTACAAGCTTTGCGCGGTTTTTGCTGCAAATCTGCAGCAATTATCCGACAACAAGCTTTGCCGCATATCTGGCGGCAATTTGGCAGCCAAAATTTGATATAACAGATCCTGCATTAAATTTGTTATTTATTTGCCATCAAAAGTTGATAGCAAGCTCTGCTCGAAATCTGTTCGCGCAGGTTTGGCTATCTGTGGATAGCAACAGTTTAGATGTTCTGCTGAACGCTCTTTGGGGGCATGCCAGCGCTACATATATTAATATATATATATATATGTATATATATATATATATATATATATATATATATATATATATA